CGCTAAGCTACACAGGAAAAGATAAAATTAATAGATCGATAAAAAATATTTCATTTCAAATCTAAATAATGTAGAATTTTCAATATTTCAAAAATATTTGTCAAGAAAAATGCTTAGAAACCATTTCATAAGGAGGAGAGAGCTAGTGAATTTTGAATGTGATCCACTCAGATATTTGTAGCCTCTCAATGTTAAAACTCACAACTGGATGTTGTATTTTATCACATTTATTGATATTTTTTCTAGGTTTGGATTGCATATTTAATTTAGGGTGTGGTATGCATCAGGTTGTAATCTTAAATAATCCAATTAAAGCGCACCTCTAAATTCTATCATAAATGCAATTTCGATATAAAAAATTCGTAGAATGACTTGACAATCTATTTTCATCTCTAATTATAAAATTTTAAGCCATAAAAGTAGTTCAAATCAAGTAGATCTATAAACATATGAAAATCTTAAAAATGGACAGCCTAGAAAATATATTGCAAGCTATACTATCTCGGGGACTCTAAATATTTTTTTCTTTTCATATTCATACATCTTGATGTTGAGATGATCAATTAGAGGGTTTACCATCATCCAAGCAACCTTTTATGATGGATTTTTGAGGTGCACCTTCGATTCTACATTTTAAGGTCGCAACCTTATATGAACTTTTTCTTTTAATTTATTATAAGTCATAAGATTTAGAAATATTTTAGATATATAAAAAAGAAGTAAAAAACCAATTGGATAGGAACATCAAAGTTTTTAGAATTGACGGAGGAGGTGAATGCACATCATAAACCTTTGACACTTATTGCAAAGAAAATAGTATTAAAAAACATACTCCTAACATCATAGCAAAATAGTATAGCTGAGAGACGTAATAGAACCTTTCTAGATATGACTAGGTCTTAATGGCTAATTCTAGTCTACCCCAGAATTTTTAGGGCGAAGCATCAAACTTACTTATTTATATATTTAACAGGGTTCCAACCAATGCAATATGAATTGTGGACAAATAGAATACTTGATTTAAGCAAATTAAAGAAGTGGGTGTTGATGACACATATTCTAATTCCACATCAGTAGATAGATAAATTAGAAAATAAAATAGTAGTTTGTAATTTTATAGGACATTCGAATATTCAAATGACTATAGGTTTTATCATAAGGGTAGGGGCTCATTAAAAACAGAGATGCTGAGTTCGTAGAATATTTTAATGTAGGAAACCCACTTCAGAAGATAATGATGAATCACTTAAAATTAAAAGTGATTTAGAACCATCACATATAGTGGATATTGATGACCATAATCAATATGATGATGTTGAATTACCAACACATCCTATGTTAATGGTCAACAGAGGTCTAGTGCTCCTCCATTATGTCATGATCGCTTCTATATTTACATGAGTAAGGAGATAGATAATTGTATTGACCTAGATGACATTGATGATCCCTTTAATTTTAATTAAGCAATAAAGTCATAATCTCAAGAATGACATAACGCCATGAGAGAAGAAACTGATTCAATAAAAAAAAAAAATGGAATATGTGTGATTTACCTTCATATATGAAACCTATTAGTTGCAAATGAGTACTTAAAAAGAAGCTAATGTTTAATGGTTCTATTGATAAACTCAAAATGAGATTAGTAGTAAAGGTCTTTATCTAACTAAGGGCTTCAAAACTAAGGGCCAAGAAAATAAAATATATAAGTCAAATAAAACAATATCCAAGACAATCGTACTTGATATCATTCAAATGGGATATGAAGTAAATAGACTATACCATTGTGTATATGCCTTGAAGAGTATGAGTACATTCACAATACTCTCATTGTATTTAGATAAGATATAATTAGCTGGAAATGAATTGGAAATTATTGATAAGACCAAGACATGACTTTCTTCTCTGTTTGAGATGAAAGATATGGAAGAGACATCTTATGTCCTAAGTATAAAAATGACAAATGATCAAAAGTCTAAAATTGTGTTTGAGCCAAGAGAGATATCTTGACTTTATTTTCAAGAGATTAAAAATGAAAAACTATAAACCATTGTCTATTCTAGTTGAAAATAAATAAAATTGTCTAAGATGGATTGTTCAATAGAAGGATAAGAAAAACCTAATGTTCCCTATACCTAAGATGTTGATAGCTCAGTACATGTTGTACGATATATAAGACCAAATTTGAGCTTTGATGTAGGTCTTGTAAGTAGGTATTAAAGTAATCCTAGCATAGCTCGTTAGAACATAGCAAAAAAAATTCTAAAAGTACATTAAGGGAATAAAACATCTTAAATTATGTTTTCAAATAGATATTCTAAGATATTTCGACGCGGTTATGTTGGGAATAAAGATTGTAGCAAGTCCAACTGTTGACATATTTTCCTCTCGAAGGTGCAGCTTTTCTTGGTCTAGTACGAAACAAACGTGTCTTACTCGATGTACACAAGAAGCAAAGTATATTGTAAGTAACATTGCTTGTACTTCCATCATTTGGACAAAACATTTCATAAATGACTTAAAATTGTAAATAATGGATAGGAAAATTCAAACATTTTTTATAATCAAGCTACAATTAAATTGATACAAAGTAGAGTAAATAGCTCTAAAGCAGGCGCGTAATGGTGCAATTCAATTGTAGTTGAGGAGAATTATGTGACTGTTAGTTATTTGCTCTCACCTGACATGATTGTTGAACATCTAAGTATAAAATTATTCTCCAAGCATATTAGCTTAAAGGGACTTAAAAGGTCTAACTTAGATAGTTGTTATGAATGACAAATATGCATTAGCATGAAAATCTTCATAATGAAATTTATGGACATTGTCATCAAAAACATATCCACAAAAGCATGAGAAAAACCTCATAGTGATTATACTCAAAAGTGAAAATAAACCTATGACAAAAAGTATTTTGCTCGGCCCTCTTAACCAATTGGGAGATGATGGCTCGTGTGGCAATGAGTCCTCATATTGTCATTCCTATTTCAATGAGAGAATCCCATAGGAATGTTAGTGCTTATCCATTTATAGTTTATGTCAAATATAATAGTGTATCTATAAATACTTATATTTTAAATGATTTCCAACAGTCATATGAGGATAAGTACATATCTAATCTCTAGGGGGCGAGCCATTTTCTCAGTTCTTGTTTAAAATGAACGTTAAACTCACTTCTTTCCTATATAAAGGGAGGATAAATATTGAGAGTTTAATGCTTTTTAATAGTTGCTTCTCTTTCTAAATGTTCCTGAAAGGAAAATTTAGGTTCTATGATCGTTAGCTTCACGGTATTGTTTCTTAGATCCAAGGCTTGGCGCTCATCCTCATAAGCAATATATTTGCTTTCACTCCTTCTATTTTGTGAAAGTTGCTAAAAGTAGGTAATGATAGTGGTTTTTTCCTTCGCGTTGGTATTGTGTCTACAAGCACCTTTTAATGGTTTAGATTGAACCAACCTCATCGAAGGTCCAAAATTGAATTTTATTTTTTAATAATTTATTTAAAAATTATACTAATATAAAATTTGAGATATAACTTCATTTTATTAATTATAGTAGAATAAAAATAACAAAAAATATTTTGAATAACAAAGAATAAATAATGGTCAAAATAAAATAGAGGTATTTTGACTATTTTTCTAGTTAAAATATTTTTAATTATTTTTATTTAATTATATTTATAAAAATACACATTCTCAAATAATATCTATTTACCCAAAAAAATAAAAGATTAATATCTTATATAAATTAAAAAATATATATGAGACTAATTTTGGGTTGTTGATGGTCTTTTGAAATCTCACCGTTCAAAAAACAAAGGATGGTCTTTTGAAATCTCAATATCCTTCCACCTGTTCAGGTGATGTGGATGGATACTATCGTTTGCCCTTTTGTACGACAGACAAGTCATTGGCGATGAACAGTGTAAGAAACCTAAAAAAAATGAACACACTCGATCATGGTCTGGATCTCCATAAATGATAGTCAATATCGGATACTTGGCGTGAGCTCCAGATCGGGCCCCTTGGGAGCAAGGTCCTTCTCATCAAGAATGTAAGTGAACAATATGATCCCGCAGGACCAAAGTATTCGCCTTGGAAAAACTAGCGCAGGTGTTTGCCTTTGTGAAACGTGCCAGGAGCATAAAACACAAACATGTGATTAGTTTACATGTGTCTTTTTTTATAGGAAAAAAAGCGTCGGTTCCCTCTAGTTCTCGTCCGGATAAATCTGAGACCTGTAATCTCTAAGATGGAGATAATGAATATCAATATTTTTTTTAAAAAAAACCTAATAATATTAATTTTAACAAGAAAATATTTAGACCGTTAGTTTTTATTGTTTTTAGATAAAACACCTACTTATATTTATCCGTAAAATGGATGCTTTACACGTTCAAAACTGCATATGTAGGCCCGCATGAAACAATTTTTCTTAAAAAACAAGAGTTCCAGTTTCCATGCGGCTAAACGTGCATATGTAGAAATGCAGGCCTCTTAATAGATCTATATTTTATATGGATTTTAAGACTTAATTTTCAAAGACATGTAATCTATAACATAGAGATTATGAATACGAATAAATAAATAAATTTTAAAAATTAAAAATAATAAATTTAATAAAACAACATTTAGATTATGAATACGAATAAATAAATAAATTTTAAAAATTAAAAATAATAAATTTAGTAAAACAACATTTTAGACCGTTAGTTTCCATTGTTTTTGTTAAGATGGAAAACATAATGGCGTCAATCTTAAGATGGAATATGCTTTGGAAAATTGTTTGGTGCGGCCAAGCCCGCACATGTTACTTTGCAGGCCCTAAGATCCTCACCATACACGTAATCTAACAATGTAGATTTGTTCTAAGTAATGACTCTCTGGAACCTGTAACCGGCAGCTCCAGTCGCCATATCACCCGTCCTTATCCCCAAAAAGTACGAAATAAAGAATTGATCAGGAAAACTCTCATCTTCTTGCTGCCAATCGAAGAGAGGGTCTCAACAAGCTTTAGCACAAATAGAACCAACTTAGGCCAAGATGCGCATAAAGACCTTAAACACAATGACCGACTTTAGAAGAGAGATAATTTCGGGGCCAAATGAAACAGATCAAGGATCTAGGTTATCAGCTTTGCTTGGGATTAGGTAGGCTGAAAAACCCTTCAATCTATGAGTCTTGGAAAGCGATGAGACATGATCACCATCAATGGCTAATGATTTCATGGCGCCTTGATGTTTGCCACAAGCTTTAGTGTATCCAAGGTCGAAACAAGAGCCAGATTGTGTTTATCTAGGGCTTGGATCTAGTTTCCAGAAGAACTAGTGTAGAGGAATTTCTCGGCTAGATGGAGGACCTGGATTACACTAGAACTCAGTTTGACAAGGGATTAGCCGGAACTTTATAGGGGAGAGATTTTCTGGCGTTATTAATTGTAAGGAAGGGACAGATGGTAGGCTAAAAAGGCTTCGGGTTCAGAGTCAGTCGCGTGAGGCTTTAGTAAAGAGGGTTTTCGGAGTTGGAATCTGGGGAAAGAGTAGGCTGGAGAATCTTGCTTTTTCCGACGATAGTGATGGTTTTCCGACCACAAGAGTGGAGCAGATGGTTAAGCAGGCCAACGCCGCCATGCGATAGAGATTCATAAATGTACACACATTTCAAGAGTTTTTTTGAATGCTCGACAGCAGCTCAAAGTCCGTTTTTATATTTTTTTGGTTTCCTTCGAAGACAAGTTGCCCCAAGTTAACCTTAACCTGGGCTTCCTGTTAGCCGGTTAATCTACTCTTCTCCATATCCACGTCTTGGATGTCAAGGCCCTAAACTAGCGCGGGCTTGGCCCTACAGAAACGGGTCCATATGCTTTACTCTTTTATTTGGACCGCGTATGTAGAAATGCGGTACAGCCCGCATGAAACAGTTTTCCCAAAAGAAATCTCTCTTAATCGGAGGTGGTCTCTCTCGTAATCGGACGAGTTGTTGGGCCATAAAACCCGCTCGCACTCTCTCTCTCTTCTCTCACTCTCTCTCTTAGTCGTAGGTGTAGTCTCTCTCCTCTCCCTCACATAACCGGGGTTGCGCCTCTCTTGGAAAAAAGCCTTCGTATAAATTATCCGCATTTGCCATTGCGACGAGGGCTCATTGCACAAGGGCACGAAGAAGCTCTAATGGCGTTCCAGGATTCTGGAATCGAATGAAACTCTACAGTAAACCCTCCCCTTTTCATTCAGAAACCCTTCACTCTTTCGTCTCTCTATTGAATGCCCCCTTCCCCCCCCCCCTCCCCAAAACGATCATTCTCATCGATTGTTTCCTGCGATTTCAGAAGGTTATTCTTTCTCTCTCTAGAAGTAAAAAGAGAATTAGGTTGGCGATCGAGGAGTTGTTTTTTGGTTCACTTGCAGCAGCAGATCTAGGGTTCCATTTTGTGAGAGGGAGAGAGAGTTGCATGGTAGTTTAGGTGAAAGGGGAGAAGAGGGGAGATTGAGAAATAAGCTCACGGTTACATCAATAAAAATCATCATCAATTGGCTTTGGGCCCAGAAACCATGTCTGCGATAGTTTGTGGAAAGAGGTCCCTCTTTGAAGAGCTTCACACCCCTCCCCCCACCTCCAAGAGACTCCGCTGCACCTCCTCCCCGATCCGATTCTCCTCCCCCACCCATCATCGGACCCCATCTTCCTTTCTCTCCGATCTCATTGTCCGCTTTCCTGATATGGATGAAAAGGTAGTTCATTTCCTCTTTTTCTCTCTCTCAGTCATAATTTCTCTCTCTTTCATACTTTTTTTTTTTGTTTATGATGCGAAGTTTTTATTTTTATGTTGGTTCTTGAATTGATTCCTGTTCTATTTCGTATTCTTGTTGCATTTGTTCTTGTGGTTTTCATTTGAGCTGATTTCTGTGTGTGTTTTTGGGTTGGTTAAATGAGATCTGAAAGCGATGCAGGTCCATGGATGTTACAGAAGCTTGCTGATTGAGTTTCCTTTTCTCTGCTATAGTTTTTGATTTAATGATTATTCTATTTGTTTTTATGTCTGGATTCTTTGGATTTAGGGTTTATGAACACTTAATTAATTAGCTAATTTCTTATTTTATGTTATTGGATCTCGCTGATTGAAGTTAACCTAAATTGCCTAATTAATGATACAGTACGCATATTTTGTTTGTTCTGCTTGATTTCCGTTTTTCTTTGCTTTAGTTTTCTATCAATTGATGATTCTCTGTGTTTTTATTTCTGAATTCTGTGGATTGAGGGTTTATGTTCAACTTATTTTATGTTGTTGAATCTTACTGATTGAAGATAACCTAAATTGCCTAATTAATGGTATAATACATATGTTTTGTTTGTTCTCCCTCTTTAACATTATCCATATTGCTCATCCATGGGATGGAATCGATTGCTCTGCCAAAAGCTTGGTATTCTTATGGTTTTCCTTCCTTTAATGCATCTGAGACTGAGGATTTTTGCACCTCTTGTAATAACTGATGCTCAATTCTCATGAAAGGCATGCATTGTAGGCCTTTTGACTGTAGAAAAGCAGTCACCTCTCTCTCTCTCTCTCTCTGCACACACATGCTTTGTAGTTTATGTAGGTGGCAAGCCCCTGCAATTTACACAAACAGATACAGAAACTCTCTCTCTTCGCACATACACTCTTTCGCTCACACATGGACACACGTCTAACATGTTAAAACTAGGGATTTTGGGGAACGCCCATGTGATTCATGAATAGTGAAATTTGTCGACAAATTCTAAGTTAATGAAGCAGCTGTATCACCATCATATACATACAAGGCTTTAAAACTTTGCCACTTTCTTTTGTCATTGCCCTATGATATAATGAGTTTATGAAGACATCGAAATTGATCAATATTAGGGACCTATGGTACTCCTACTCTCTCTCTCTCTCTCTTTGTTTTTCTAATTCCGAATCCAATGTTCTGTTTTTTCTTTTATGCTGAATGAATTTTTTATTTAATTTGTATTACCTGTCATGAGTATTCTCCTTGCATAGTTTTGTAAGGCATTAATGTAATGGCCTTATTTGTGTTTGGGCTGACTAATCTGCCTGTATGACGGATTCAAACTAGGGCTTGTGGCTTTAATTCTAGCATATTTAAAAATGGTGTGGCCTAGAAATGTGGTTTTGTACTTGCATTTCTAATTGCTTTCGTATTGTAGTTGGTTCATTTGTTGTGTGCATGTGTGTGTGTGGTTCCTCTTTTCTTTGTTGGGAATAGGTGAGAATGATTAGTAGTCCAATAGGCATGCATGAAGTTTCATCAACTATAAATTGTAGGTAGGCAAATTATACAAGAAATATTTGTTGCTATTTCAAAATTTCCCCCAATAGATAGGAATTTTATTGCAAGTGCAACTTGTATAGTGGATTTGCCTCTTCATCAACTTTTCCTTATCACATGGAAAACTGAAGTAGACATGATTTGCCGTAACATGATTATATATATGGTGATGGTAGCTTGTCTTTGGGGGTTCATTACATTCTCACTTGTGGTTGCTCTTTATGATGTTGAGCTAGTGGCCTTCGATTGTTTAGAGACCTAAGAAAATTTTAAGTGTGCCATAGGAACCATCAACTTGTCTTGTTCTTTTGCCCCGTTGGAGTGACTGGTGCCCATAAATCCAAAAGTGTTATTGAGTAATCTTCATTGGCAACATACTCATGGATGTGGTTATGACTTCTTTCTTGTTTGATTTCGAGACGCTATGTTGAGATGTGGTAAAAAATTTCAGTTGTATTTTTGAAAAAGAAAAGTCAATGTCCTGTTAGTTATATCCTTGCACATCCAGGGTACATCCTGTCAAGGTTTTAAAAACTGCTAGGCATCACTTAGGTGGCTTAGGGATTGGCTGCCAAGGCATAATGCGGCCACCTAGCCAGACACTTCAGTCTTGAGATTCCCTAGCCTCTCACACACATATTAAGTATTGTATATGTATGTCTATGTAATATGTAATAAATTATTCATCTAATATTACATTTTGCATGTAATTAAATGTGTAAAAATCAATTGGATGATACAAATTTGAATGATAGGAAAAATCCAATGTTTGTAAGTAATTAGGTAAATGTTGAATCACAATTTACACATGTAAGACAAACACAATATAATGGCATTCTCAATGGCCAGTGCATATGGCTGATGTCTCCACGTCTTAAGTCACAAACGCAAATTACTCAATTACATAAACACAGTTCCACTATAGAGAAAGAGATGCAAATAAAATAGCAAGCAAAATAAAAATGAAATGCATCAGGTTTAATGTTCATATTTTTAACCCCTTCGACCCCTACACCTCCTTATGATTGCAAGCCATTATCGTCAACGTCATCACTCTCATCAACGTAATGGCCCTCCTTAATGTCTTCTGAACTGGTCTTCTTTTCCTCCTCCTCTATCTATCTCCCCCTCCTATGTGTGCTGGGTGTAGCAGTCATTGTAGTTGTCCTAGGGTCAGAAGCGGGTCTAATAAATGCATATGCTTATTTGTTAAGGTTTGCTCTCAGAGGAATATTAAAATATGATTTTTATGACATTTTGTGTAAAATTAGGTTTCTTTGTGCACCTCTTTCATTTTATAAATCGCTGTACTTCTCTTGTTTGTTCTGCTGTTTTTCTACCCCTTTTGCTTACGATTATTTTGCCTTATTTCAGCTTCTTGAGAGAGCTTTGGAAGCCTGTGACGATGATTTGGATTCAGCCATAAGAAGTTTGAATGAACTTCGTCTTGGATCTGCTGAAAGGAATTTGCTTTCTCCTACTACCAAATTTGATGCAAAAATGGGAACAACCAGTCAAGTGTCATCTGAAGGTATGCCTTACCATGTTCATGTATTTTGTGTTAAGGGCACTATGATTCAACCTTGGGGGATTCTGAAGTATGGTTGCAAGACATATCCTATGTCTTCTACATAATGAAGGATGTTTCCTGGTTTTCCCACATAATCAGCAAACATTTCCTAGTATTTATGTTTGTAATGATCATATAAATTTTGACAGATTGCCTAGTTTCATGTAGGGACGATAGATGAGTGGCTGCGTAAGCCAAGTTTGATATTATTATAAGTATTGTTATTATTATTATTATTATTATGATTATTCTTATTATTATTATTATAATTATTATTATTTTATTATTATTATTATTATTTTATTCTTAGGGAAAATATTATTCAAGGGCCCCTTACAAAATCATTAAAGTGGTCAAAAGATCGCAATTAACATTGGAAAATTTTCTTTTTTATTTTCATTTCCCCCTTGTACCACCTCAAAAAATATCTGCTAAAATATGCAAATTGTCTCTGTTTGGGGTTGGGAACCCTAAACAAACATGGGCATCTCAGGAATTTGATGACCCTAAGCAAGCAAGGGTGCTTGTACTTCTGTAATTTGGTTGGGGCCTCTTAGGTGGGTCAAATTACAGAAATGCCCTTGTTTATTCAGGGTTCCCAACCCTGAACAAGGGCAATTTGGGCATATTTGAAGGTATTTTTGAGGACGTACCTGACTGAAATGAAAATTAAATAATAACAACATTCTAATGTTTATTGGGTTGTTTTAGCCCCATTAATGATTTTGTAAGGGTTTTGTTTTGACCCTTCAGATAATATTTTCTTCTATTATTATATGATTTTGGCCAAGTTGAAGTTTGAGAATGAAAGAGTGTTTAAAGCAATTTTACATAGCTTTTTATTAATTATGTATATATATTTATAGTTGGAAGTTGCATGGTGCTGGCAGAGGTAGTGAGGAGACCTATTTGGGTTGTAGGCAGAGAGGTGCTTCACTTACCGCATCTTTGTTGGAATAGAATATTTCTTAGGGTAAATGTAGGAGTATTTTGATAGAATTGAAGGTTTGATGGTATCAAGTCTACCTGGATAGTGGATTGTGTGGTATGCCACTTGAGATTGAACTAGACCTCAATGTAGTTTTCTATTGAGACTATGTTAATTGAGGTAGTCATTGGGGTCTGGAGAGTAAATTAAACTCCTAAAAATCACAATGAGATAGTGAGGGACTTGCTTCTGGATCTATTAAGGACGACATGGTTAGTAAGGCGTCTTAGTGTCAAGGTGATGCCTTACTAAGAAAAATCAGTAATAATAAAGTAAAATCAGTAATAATAAAGAAAGAACATGGCTGTAAATCAAGCCAAGAGAAGAACTTTTTTCTTTCATAAAATAAAATTTGTTCTCATAATATATCCCTCCCAAAATATGACATCCAGCTTTTTATAAGCCTATATAAATCTATTTTAACTTGAGATCCAAGTAAACATTCACGCACTAAAATTTCAAGAATGCCGCTATGAACAGTAATCCGTGAACAATACTATAATTAGTAATGCATGAACAGGAGCTGTGAATAGTATCATGAATAGTACTTGTAAATGGTAAATAAAAGAAAATACAAAAAAGCCTTAGAATTAAAAAAGAAACTTAAAATCCCAAACCTAAATCCTAAATCTAAAATCAAAATATACATCATTAGTATTAAAAAAGAAACTTTAAATCCCAAAACTAAATCGTAAATCTAAAATCAAAATTTACATCATTTAAAATTGAATAGAAATAATATATGAGTGTAATTTTTCCCTTCATCATTCTCCCTTGGTTGGAGAAAACTTGTCCTTGAGCTTTGAAATGTGCTAAGATGATTTCAGCATCAAAACTATATTCTTTAACCTTTTTCGTTGGCTCAAAGATTATTCGTGGTAAAAATAATTCCTCAAGAGATGGATCCTGATATGTATATTGAGGAATTGATGCGGATTTACCAAATTTATCTATTCTTGAGCTCGCATTGAAGATCGTGTAGGCATTGTTTCAAAAAGCGGATCGCCTAGCTCTTGGGAATTTAAGGTGATCCCAAGAGCTATCTACAAGTACTTAAATTTCCTAAATATGTATTGAAGTATGTATTGAAAATTGGTGGCATATCCCAATCTTTTGATACGACCTATGCCAAAATTAACCTCGTTCTCCTTCAAATCATGTTGATCAACTAAATCCCATGACTTATTCTCTTGAACATGAGGCTTCTAATGCAAAGCGTGTACATAGAATAGGTGGTTGAAGGCAACTTCATCATTCTGCTCCAACTCAAAGTCTCTCCATGAAAACCCTCACGATTTGAACCTATCCCCATATATTCCTCTTCCTTCAAGGCACACTGTTGCTGGCTATACTTGCGCAACAATAGCTATGTTACCCTCTTCGTCAAGTTGTTCATTTCCTTGTTCAATTGGATTAGATCGGCATCCCTACGGCTAAGACGACCACGCCAAACCATCACAATCTGAAGCTGTCCTTGAACCTTGTTCTGATGCCACTTGATGCAGAAAGGAAATGTGAGACATTGAATCCACCCTTTCATGAACCTTAAACAAGTAAAATCAGCAATAATGGAGAGAACATGACTGTAAATCAGCCAAGAAAAGAACTTTTTAAAAAATATGACAGCCAACTTTCTATAAGCCTATGTAACCCTAATTTAGCTTGGGATCCAAGTAAACATTTAAGACTCTAAAATACCCCCCAAAACAATTCTAAAATTTCAAAAATACCCCTATGAACAGTAGCACATGAACTGTTTGCGTGAATAGTAGTAATGTGTGAACAATACTATGAATCGTACTTGTGAATAGTGAATAAATAAAATATAAGAAAAAGCTAGAATCTAAAAAAAAAAAATTAAAACTTAAAAATAAATCCTAAAACTGAAATCAAAATATACATCCTTTAAAATTGAATAGAGATAAAGAATAAGTATAATTTTACCCTCCCATCACAAGGTCTGAAAGAGGGAGGGAGGAACATGTTGTCTTGGGGCGTTTCTTGTAGAAAAGGAGGGTTGGATGGAGACGAGGAACCAATTTTGTCTAGAAATGGGTCAGTTCTGGGAGCAGCTAGCACTTTTTTGAGCATTGCACCATATGGGGTGCCTAACTTGTCTTTTTTGTCATTGTCATTGTGCCAACCCTACCATTAACTCCTAAAGATCAGGATGAGATAGCGAGGGACCTGCTTCTGGATCTCTTAAGGAGGGCATGGTTAGTAAGTTGTCTGAGTGTCGAGGTCACAAAGAGGGAGGGGGGAACATGTCTTCTTCGGGTGTTTCTTGTAGGAAAGGAGGGTTGAATGGAGACGGGGAACCAGTTTTGTCTGAAAATGGGTTAGTTCTGGTAGCAGCTAGCACCTTTTTGAGCGTCGCACTGTATGGGGTGTCTACCCCATCTTTTTTGTCGTCGTTGTTGTGTTGATTCTACCATTTTTGTAACTATGTATGTCTTTACACTAATATGTGGTCAACTTTTCTCCCAAAAAGAAAAAAAGTAATGTTTGAAAATCATGTATCTCGATCATTGTTTGGGTCCTTTGGTCTATCGTTCGTTAGGGAGGATCAATTTGGTTCATCTCATATATTGCAATCTGGGGATGGTTGGATTGTTTCCCGCTGTTCCCTTGATTTGTGTGGTAATAATGGTTCTATGATAGAAGGGCTGCTTTCCTGTCCATGGATGTTGAGGATGCCCTTGTTAAAAAATCGTGGTGTTTGGGAAGATGGAGAGCTTGGAGGGAACCAGTTTGGGCATTTATTTATTTATTTGGGGTTCTTTTTTGGGTGGGTGGGTGGGTGGGGGATATTGGGGTTGACGGACATAATCCAACATCATCTGCAGTAAGTCACTTCAGGTTTCAAGGCCCAAACATCTATAAATGCGACAACCAATCTACATGTACTCTACGTGGACGGGGTAAATTTGTGCAGCTGCTTACTTTATATATTTTTGATAAGTGACAAGCAGTTGCTTCTCCCTTTAAACTGCCGTTTGGATTTGGGGACTGTATATACTGTACTCCCACGGAGTATAATGTTGGTTACTCAGACCGGCTATCCACTGTCCGTACGTATCTGTGGAAATGAGCAGTTTTTTGACTAACAAACAAGATGGACTTATAAGCGGGGACAGAGCCTGATCCTTACTGCCCATTAAATACTGTGGATTTTGAATGGCCAGATTGAATATTTTAAACTATACTTGATATGAGTATTGGATTCCCTTTGGATTCTAGCTTTCTATTTATTGAAACAAAAATCTCAAACAAAAATAGATGCTGCATGTTTGGAATTGCCCCAGAATATTGGCTGAAAATTTATTTGGACCATTGTGTCCTAGTGGAAATTGAGATGAGCTTGCTCATGAAGGATTGGGTGAATTAGCAAGTCAGACTAGCTGAGGGCTGATTCTTTCAAGTTGTACTCTATTTCTGGGTTTTGCATTGGACGAGACGACCTGGTACCGTAGGTCAGTTGAAGGTGTTGAATAAATTTGTGTTGAAATGACAAATTATTCCCCTTCTTATGACATTTGTTAGTGCCAATTAACCTTTTTTGCTGGGGGAGTGTGGAGTTACATCGGAGTGGCAGGCAGGGTTAAGGGGGTAGTTGGCATTATTACTTGGTTAGAAAGGGGTAAAAACAGGGGGACATTTTGAGTCTCTAGGAAAGAGTTGGAAGATCCCTTGAAATTTTTTTTCCCCTCAGGTCAGTAAATTGGCTGCTAAAGTGAACTTAGTCCTGGAAGGTGACAATTGCTTGTTGGTAGATGCGGAAGCTTGGTTTTGAGGGAATTTGACTAGAAGAGATGCGGCAATTCCCAGTTAGAAGAGAGCTCGTAAGTCTTCAATCCAAGATAAATTTGGATCCTTTGGATAATTAAATTTTTGGCACTGTGAGAATAATGCATCGTTGTTTTGGGTATTGATAGGCCAGACAATTCTAGATGTTGGAGAGAACAGTTTGTAGCTTAGCTTATTTCATAATGAAAATAATGCATTCATTGATCTCTAAGGGGATTCTTGGTCCAACAGAGAGGTTATTTGTGAGGTCTTCTCTCTGAAGGGCCACATGCTTATTCCCTTGAAAAGGGAACCTTTCCTAGACTTTCTGTCAGGAAAGCAAGTACGAGCTATGGAGTGGATACTATCTGGTGGCTCCTTTTCTATGGTAAAAGAAGTGGAATATGGTAAGATCCATAATAGCAGCTAGAGTTGTCTTTTGTAAAAGTCTAGAATTCTTTTAAGGCGTAGAGGAATGTGTCGCAAGAAAGTTAATGCATCATAATTGATGATGGAAGCAGTTGCGAGTAAAAAATGGAGGGCTCAATAATGGAAAGACAATTGTTGATATAGGGGAGGATTGGCAATAATTAGTTATAAGGGGGATGAAGTGGAGAGGGACAATTCCTGTTGTGATTTCCAGGGACAGTGGAGGCAGCCCTGTATTATTAACATTACCTGAATTTGATCAGACTGGTTAGTTTGACCGAGTCTAACCATATTTGGGTTCCCATCTGTTTCTATCCAGAGCAAAACCTCTGAAATTCAGTAAAAAGTGGCCAGTCCTTTTTGGTGAACTGGTTGATTCATGGTGAACTGGCAGTTCCTGATTTCTACCAGAACAAAATGGTCGCAACAAAAATTGAGTTCATTGTTTGGGTTGGTACAGCCTTTTTTCATATTTTCCTTTGCCATTTTTGTTTTGACAAATAAAAAGACTAGAACCCAAGATAATAGGTCAAAGAAAGAGAGAGACATCTGTTAAAATAGGCCTGCCCTGTGGAAAACCATGTACAATTGTAGTGGTATTTTGTCAATGCCAAGGAAAACCGAGGTAAATTGATTCCTATGAAGTGGACACTTTAGATTGCAGTTAACACACCCCCACCCCTTCTTCTTCTCTTATGTTTTCAAATATCCCTTAATTGTTTCCCGAAAAATATAAACCAATAGAGCGGTCAAACCACTAGCTGACCATGAAAATTGGACTGGACACTTTTCTTATTCAATGTTCTCTCTGGTTTGGATAAACAATGGTGGATATGGTATTCAGGGGATTTAGTGTTGGCAGATGTTGGAAATGATCTTGACTTGAGAAATGAAAGATCAAAAGAGTAAAGAGCTGAGTTGCAATTGACTACTACGAGCAGGCTAAGAAGTTATGTGGTGGGAGGCCAGAGATGGTCTGAAGTTTGAGTCATTGAGATGCTTATTGGTAGTTGACTTGTTGCAATCTGAAGGGCTTTGATTAGTGTAAATAGTAGAAAGGTCTTAGAGATTGGATTTGGGATGATCTTGTTAAGTATAATGTTGATTCAGGTGAGAAAGTTAGATGTGGTGGGCTCTTTCTGCCTCAGAAGAAAAGGCAAGCTGCATTAATATTTAGTTCTGAACTCTAAATAAGAGGCTTTACCTTGGCATTGAAAATTCCGTAATGCAATATTTGACTCTGTAATGCAATGTTTTCCCACCTCAACTTTATGCTATTTTTCTTGTGATATCTGCTTATGTGATCGGCCTAAATACATTCATAAACGATTAATTTTTTGATTAATTGGCCGTATTAAGCTTATGGAGAAACAATCCATAAATCATGAAATATGGACAAGGACTTTTAGTGTTATACAACAATTTGTGGCTATCTTTATTGGTGCTATGGCAATTGAACTTGTTAAGAATGTGATAAATGTTAGTTGACAAGGCTGCCTTGGAAAATATCTTAGAGAAAGCTCACTATTTCCAATCAACCTCACTGGTGGCCCTCTCTACTTTTCTTCATGGTCTAGCTTTCATATTTGAGAGAGCTTACGACACTCTGCTCATGCATTGCTTATCATTTTCTGACATCAATTGCATAAATGATTTTCCTTGATATGCTGCTTCTTTATGTATGCTTTATGTCAAGCATATGAGCCATCTCTTGCAAGTGAAACTGTTGGCATATTAACCCATTTAAGTAATGGAAATTTTTTAACTGGTGTCTCAGAAAATATTTAGGTAGACAATTGACACGCAAAACTCAAATGGCTTGTTTCATATGCTGTTCACCAAACTGCATCTATGCCCTCTATTTTGGGTGAGTGAAACTCTGAAAGAAAATGCATCATTAGCAAATTTAACAGACTAAATCACATTGTAAGGCAAGCAAATAGGAGGATAACTACCTGAAATGATCCTGTTTCTTGACGCATCTGGTCTTTACTACAAATCCAGTTGTTGCTTAAAATGGAGAGAAGGAAATGCATAATCACTTTGCACATATTATAACATAAATTATTGGGGTAAACTTAGTTTTTGTTTTTTGAATGAGAATTATAATTGCCTAGACTCTTCTTCTGTTAGTTGGGATTTGGGAATTCAATTTTAAAGTTATTGATGCTCCTTGGTGAAATAGGATTTCCATGAAATGCTGTATGTTACTCATATTTTCTTGCCCAAAAAGCTTTGGTTCTTGGATTCTTGCGCTTATGCATCTTCTACTGTATTTATACTGTGTCTATTATAATATTAATGTTCTTTAACTTTTACTCGTTCATCGTACCCAAATAGAGCCCAATTTTGATGGTATTCGATATTTTGTTAATTCAGAAAGGTTTTTGACCTGCTCACAAAGACACCCGATGAATGCCCTGTATGCTGAATTATTGTCAGGTTTAGCAGATGGTGGTGAAGATGCTGGGCCTGAAGAAACTGCTCCTAGCGATCTTCCATCTGATGGCTCAGAATGGGTGGAACTGTTTGTAAGAGAAATGATGAATGCTTCTGATATGGATGACGCACGAGCTCGTGCTTCAAGAGTGTTGGAGGTGTTGGAGAAATCTATAGTGTCTCGTGCTGGTGCTCTAGCAGCTGAGAACCTTCACAAGGTATGAGCTGACAATTCCAGGCACATGTACATTCGTACATTCTACAAACATGCATGCATACTCGTGCCTATTTGTACATACAGATATATTCACCAAGGAGGGTCAAGGCAAAGGAAAACTATGACTAGGTATTGGGTGTAATAACAAAACTAGTGGGGTCCTATGTGGCAAAACCTTAATGTAGGGGAAATTTTTGATCTGGAATGGGAATCATTGGGAACGAATGGATTCCAGGTCGGATTCGGCATTTTTGTTATAGATAATATATTTTTGTACATATTATTACAAAAATATTCCTATGGCCTTTGTTTTTTGTTTTTCTTGGGTAGGGGTTCTCTAATTGTGGTAGAAACTGAACTCATGACGTCATGTTATGGTGGCCCTCTTTGAGCCCATTCCTAATGTTCCTATGGCCTTGGTGGCTGGACATCGTGTTCATCGGGCTTTGGGGTTTATTTTTCAAGCCTCAGCCAACTTTGCTTTTTCTCACATTAAAAAATTTTATATGCATTCAAACTTTAAAAAACCACATGGGATGCGGTAATCAATCCATGGATATTTTTGTAAAGGATGAAGATTCTATAAGGCCAAGGCTTTATGAAAACCAAATAAAGCCTCACCTTAAATCCTTATCCATAAAGCACTTTCCGCAATGGAAATCTCCATGATGGATCTAAAATCAATTTCTCAATATCGAAAATAAGATTTGAAACTCAAAAAATAGTATAGATCTTGCGGATCTATGAACACTTATTTGTAGGGTGAAATGGAAAGTCTAGATAATTTGTTACAATATAAATTATTTTTAGAGCTTAAAATCCTAATTTTTTCACACCCATAATGTTCACATTGAGATGATTGATGTAAAGGTTTTTCAATACCCAAGTGTAATTTTTGATGAGTTATGAGGTGAAGCGTTGCTTATTTTGATAGGGCTGCAACCCTATCAAACCATTTTCCCTTTTTGTAAAAGGTGGCCCTAACCATGTAAGCCATTTGAGCTGTGTTACAGCTTTCGTGCATTGTATTGTATATACATTATTAATTTGTTTTTTTTTTTTTCTGTTTTTAAATTCCAGATCGTTGATTAGGGCAATCTGGATTCGATCTCGATCAGGATTGGTGGGTGGATGATTCACCCAATCGATCCATTTTTTGAAAAAAGTGATGGGGTTTTATGTAGTTTTCCCTTTTCCATTTTTAGGATTATCATGGTAATGATTTTTATTTGCACCAGGAAAACTTGGTTCTCAAGGAACAACTAGAAGTATTACTTCGAGAGAACAGTATCCTCAAGCGAGCTGTGGCCATTCAGCATGAGCGTCAGAAGGAATATGAGGAGAGTGGACGAGAATTGGCGAATCTGAAACAGCTTGTGAGCCAGTACCAAGAACAGGTTCGGACACTCGAGGTAAAATGCTTTCAATCCTAGTTTCTCTCTCCCCCTTTGCATTTTGCATGTGTATAAATTAGATATTGCTCTATGCATTTTAAAATTGGTGAGCATTGTTTGGTGGGCAGGTGAATAATTATGCCTTGACTATGCATCTAAGGCAGGCTCAGCAGAGTAGCTCGATGCCTGGCCGTTTCCATCCGGATGTGTTCTAGTTAGCTGCATAGGTTTTGGTTAGTTTTGTTGGTTTTGGTCATTACCTGGTGATGAAGTTTATATGTGTGTATGTATCTATCATCGTAACCATCAGGCCCATCAAAAGAAAGTTATTATTTGGTTTCTTGTACGCGAAGATCGGCGTTATGTATTAGGGGAAGAAAGTAATCCCAGCGATTATTGAAAGATGGCTTCTTTCACTTTTGAGGTAGGTGTTTGTATTCCTGTTGGACACTCGCAGTTCTCATTTTTCTTCGTGTAAAAGGCACTGTTTGTTTATAGTGGCAGTCTTTGGAGCTTTCTTTCCTGTTCACTGCATATGCCTTTGGTATTAGGAGGTCACAACACAAAGCTCCTCTCCTTTTTCTATTTTTAATTTTTAATTGAAACGTGGCCCCAATTTTACCGTGGAGGGTCAATCTCCATATTTTTGCTCAAATAAGGAGATGCTTCACCATTGCGTTTTTGAGAGCCAAATGCAGAAGATCTCCAATCTTCCTGGTGATGCATTTGAAGGAATTGAAACGGCCCTAGTGATCGTCGTTTGAGCCAGAATATTTGTCCCCTCTCTCTCTCTCTCTCAAATGGGCCCCTAGTGATCGTCTCCCGAGCCAGAAGACTCGGCCTCTCTCTCCCTCTCTCTCTGTCACTCTCTTCCTTATAGGGTTGAGATTTTTTTGGTGTTCCCGTTTTGAACTCATACATTGTACTGTTACTTACGATCACGTGTTTATCATTTAGGTTTCTTGTCTTTGGACTGCATGTTTTCTTTGAGAATCAACATGGGCCATTTCTGAACCCTTAAGTTAATGAATGAAACTCGGTTCTGATTTTTATTGGGGCTACGAGTTTTGACAACGGTTTCTGTTTTTATATTTTAAAATATAGGAATTAAGATGCAGGTGGTTTTGATGTTGGAAAACTTAATTTTTTAAGTGCAAGTAGATATGCGTAATTTGAATATTTTTTAAATTTAATATTTTATAATTAGAGATGAAATAGGATCTGAACCTTATATAAACCGCGCCGTTTTAACATTGATGTCAAGTAATTCTTCCTTGGGTCATAATTGAATTTCGAAGCAGGTCTAGTGAATTCCGGCTTCGACGTATCTGCAACTCGTTACTGGCTTAGTGTCTACCCTAGATTTCTTCAATGCACTTCTTGTTGACTTGTTGATTTTAGGGCTTTTCGCCGCTCTGGTATTTGTTCAATGTAAGGGGACTTGGCTTTTGACCGTGTTTTGGGCGTATTATCTAGGTTTTAATTGAAGTCTATGTTAATAAATGTTTTCTGATTCGTTTTAGAAGACTTCGATTTGGTGAGAAAAATCAAGTGATTTTTCGATCGGTTTGGGGGAAGATTTTGGATTTTTTTTAATTTAATGAGATATTTATATATAAAATAATAAAAAATAAAAAATACATTTATAAAGCTATTGTTTTGCTTGTCGAAGCAGACCCGAAGCGGTTCAAATTTGATCGAAACAACACGAATTGGTCCAAATATGATCGAAGCAAGAGCACCAGATTTCACTTATCTTCGGTTTATGCTTAAAATCCGAAAACTTCGGCCTCTTAGGCCGAAATGAAGTGAATTTGATAACATTGGTGTTAATAAACTCGACTTACGAGTGATACCCGAATCATACTAGGGAACAGGGTAGGTCTGGTAACTGGCTCTAATTGGGCCACGTCCGATGGGCTACAAAGGTTTAATTCTTTAAAAAACAAGTCTGAAAAATTATAAAAAATATGATTAAAATATAATTAAACAAAATAAATTTAAATGAAGATAAAAAATTGGTGAAAAATAGATTTTAAAAAATCAATCGTTTAAAGATATTTAATAAATAATCTAAAAAAGAAAAGAAAATAATTAAAAAACCTATTACAAACAATTTTTTTTTAAAATTTTTATAATATATATATATACTTTTTTTAAAAAAAAAAAATTCCTCCTCGACAACCCTAACCGGCCAAAACTAGCCACTGCCGGTTCCGGGCAACCGGGCTAGGTCCGGTCTACTGGGTTGGCTTTGCCAACACCGATCGTGAGAGTTCAGTGCTCGGTCTGTGCACCATTCATGTATGACTAAAACTAGTCTAACCAGTACGGTCTCAGAGCATGTTGAGCTAGCTTCTAACTGCATTATGCTAAAAGCCCAAACCCCCGTTGAACTTGAAACCGGCGCATTTTTTGTCTCTGGCATTTTAACCCCATCATGTCATCGATTCTAGGGCTCTGTAACTGCATAACCCTGACGAAACGTTTTTCTGCGTTGAACGATGGATACGTGACATTTATGTGGAGACGTGCCAAGAGAATTGTCATCGATTCTAGGGCTTTCAATTAAACCAACTGCATAACCCTGACGAACCGAACGGCTTTTAGGCGTTGAACGATGGATACGTGACAATTATTGCAACGCATGTCAAGATAATGCATGTGCCATGAGAGACTTATACGTGCCAAGACATTTACGTGGCGAAGAGAAAACAAATGCTATGGGCATGTGGCAATCATGCATCAACATATATCGAGACAGTGACATGTTGCAAAATACTCGGGTTGCATACCGTTTGATCTAGATCCGACGTTTTAGACTATTTTTAGTTTTTTTTATTACAAATTATTTGAATACGAAATTCGGTAAACACCGTCTTCTCAATGGGCGCACCGAGAAATATTTTTAAAAATATTTTTATAAAATATAACGATAAAAATACCTATTGAACTTCTAAAAGTATTTTAATCATTTTATTTTATTAGTAATAATGCTTTTATATTTTTTACATGTGCGAGTTTAAGAGAGGAGTGGTCCCCTAACATTTGGTGTCAAAATAATGTTTAAAAAAAAAATTAAAAATTAAATAGTGTAGAGACGTGACACTGTGATTGGAACCATCTCAACTATTAATTCATAATGGACGGTTCGATAAGAGAAAGTATATAAGCTTTATGATGTAGGGGAAACCTTGAAAGCTTGCCCGTGATTAAATGTGGTAAAACTTACTAATAATTGAGATAATCATGTCAAAAAGTCATAACTTACCTACTTAGCCATATATATATATATATAAAATCAAAGGCCAATGGGAAGCTTGTCTCTAGGTAATAACCCATACTATGTCTTTAAGTTGGAAAATTTTCCTTACATATTCAAAATTCTTAAAAGCAACTAAATTTGGTAACTCTCACCTTAATTCCCTTAAATTAAAAGCATACATATCTATAGGAGTTGAGGTCCTATAGAGACACACATTTATAGGAGTTAAGATCAAAATGTAACTCTTGTCTTAATTTTTTTTGGGAAAATTTCATATAGAACCCTAATTTTTCATATTATTTCATGGTAGATCCTCATTCCGTTTTTCTTTCAAGCAGCATAAAGAAACTCTTAAAGATTTCACTGCACCCCCTCATCTCTTATCTCTCACTTTTATTGACTTTTGACCATAAAAATTAGCCTCAACAAATCTTTTTATACAATTTCAACCTAAAAACGTATTTAACCATCACTTTCTCTTTCCACCCATTAAAAACGTTTTTGAGTTGAAATGGTATAAAAATATTTTTTGGGGTTAATTTTTACAATAAAAAATCAATAAAATGTGGAGATAAGAGATGAGGAGGTGTGGTGAAATATTTAAGGGTTTTTTTATGCCTCTTGAAAGATAAATGGAAGGAGAGTTTACTATAAAATAATATGAGGAATTAGAGTTCTATACGAAATTTCCCCATTTTTTTAAAGACAACCAATTGAGATTAATAAATTGTCACCAAATATTAATTTCATGTTATCAACTAAACTTATAAAATAAGATGGCATTCGAGCATTGCCATATTTTTCACCTTCACAAATTAGATAAACTTTATGTATATAACATAAATATTTTTTTTACAAGGATTGTTATAATCCAAATACGCCATCAGGGTTTCCCTCTATTGCTACTTCCTATTCAAATTCAAAATTGAATCTAATTATACAGCATTGCTTTATGTTAATAACATGAGATTTTATAATATTCCAAGACGACTTTTTGTATCATTACTGAAATTCTTGAAAAAAACAACATGATATGCTACATTTTTCAATATCTCCCACTTGGCCTAAAGGCCTTTTTGGGATCGATCATCTATATGACATTCCCGCATCATCTCTACAAGGGATCTCCATAAACCCCATGAATATGGAATGATTCTTAGATTTTCGTCCTAATTGGGCTTATCTAAGTCCCTTTTTTATTACATATTTTTCAAACATGTCCTGGCTAACAGTTTTAGTCAATAGATATGTGATCTTCTTTGAAAGAATATAACTAATCCTTATACCTCTTTATTCCATCAGATTTGAATATGTAAAAGTTCATTTGAATCTGATTGGATTTAGAGTTTATTTTTGGGTCCTTAATGATAGCAATGGTGACTTAATTATAACAAAATATATTTATAGATTTATTCAAACTTTAGATATATGAGGAAGTTCATTAACCAAATAATTTCTTGTTATGCAAAACTGCAAGCCATATATTTTGCTTTCAGGGTGGATAATGTAACGCAGTCTTCTTTTTTACTGCACCAAGACATAGTACTTCTCCTAAAAGTGAAAATGTATCCTGGAGTGGTTTAGCTACCATTACCATGTCGCCACTCGAATCTGAATCAAAATAATCCTAAGGTCTAAGGGAAGAGCCTTGACAATTTGCAACTTATACTTCGTTTTTCCTTTGATATACCTCTGTATCATTTTTATTGCTTGCCAATATATCATTTTAGGGTTGCTTTGATACTTCTAACAAGTCCAATACAACATAGATTTTGTCTAGTGCACAACGTTGCATACATATTGCTTCAAGTTGCTTGAACATAAGAACATTTATCATATTCACACTATCGTTTTCATGGCGGACACATATCAATGAATAATTTTAACAACTTTGTCAACATGGGTGAAGATTCTCTCGTATGCTCGTGATAAGCTTAACATCCAATTCAATCGACCCCTAGCTATTTCAATTCCTAAAACATATGATACTAATCCCATATCTTTTATTTTAAAAATGAATTTTGAACCACGGTTTTGTTTCATTGAACATATCGATGTAATTGATAATATCCATGTCATTGCCCGCATTCAAATTAACATCTATATATAAGGATAGTATTACTCTCTTATTCCCACAAATTTTAATAGATAGACAATGATGACTTTCACCAAAACAAAACCGAGTTTCTTAATAGCATCATGAAAATTTAAATACTATTGTCTAAAAAATTATTTTACTCCATATAATGACTTCATTAACTCACACATTTTACTTTCTTTGCTTTCAATAGTATATATCTTCATCTAAATTTTTATTCAGAAATGTAGTTTTAAAATCTATTTGATACAATTTTAAGTCGAGACTAGATATAACAGATATTAAAATTCTAATAGAAGGAATTTTTTCTATAGGAGAAAAAATATCTCAAAATTTGTGCCTTAATTTTTTTTATACATTATAGCAATAAGTTGAGCTCTATATTTATGAATGCTACCATCATTCTTGAGTTTTCTTTTTAAAATCAATTTACAACTTGGTTTTCTCCCACTAGAAAATCTATGAACTCTCATTCATGGTTTTTAGCTATAAAATCTATTTGTTCATTCATAAATCCAATTCATTAGAATTAATAGGTCTTTTGCAATTGGATGGTTTAGCAGTGTCTTGACAAAGAAAGCTATGGTAGTGATTTATGTGCGTGCAAATAAAATTTCGATATTGTTCTAAGTGGTTTAGTGCACTTCTAATTGTAGAATTCCTCTACAATAGCCGGTTCAAATAATCCATGAATTTATCGATGTTTTTCACATTACATTCATAATTTTCTATGCTTTCATTCACTCTTTTGTTTTTATCTAACTCTACCAGTTAGGTTTGTCCAATTTGATAGGCTCCTCTAAACAATGTCCATCACTAGACTCAACCAAAAATTTATTCTTATAAACTCATAATCATTAGAAGTGGCAGAGTATCCTGTGAATGAACATCGTCTGGTTTTTGCATATAACTTGGATTGCTTGGAATTCTCAAATAACCTAGTCGTGGTTTACACCCAGGCCATTGCTCATAAAGAGTTTTCTATACAGTCTTTGAAAGAACTTGATTTAAGATATATATATATATAAAAATTAAAAGTAAGCAATACTTCACTACAAAAGGTTGAGAATTAATTAGCATGCTTCATCATTCAGTACCCCATGTCCGTAAGTGTTCGGTTACATCTTTCAGTGAGTTTATTTTAATGGGGTGTGTATAGCATGGTCTTGTGTCTATCATCCCACTTTCTCTACAAAATTATCAATGAAAATAGAACAATATTCGCATCGTTTGGTTAGCTCTAAGGATTTTAATTCTTTTATCTGATATGTTCTCAACCAATAAATTTAAAGTTTTTGCACATATCAAGTGCCTCAAATTTTTTACTAATTAGATAAATGTAACCAAAATCTTGAATAATTGTCAATGAAAAATAAGAATATCCATGCCCTTTGGAGTTTTGAGTGACCAACAAATATCATAATGAACAATGATCATAATTTACAAGATCCAACTGTCTTGCCGAACGGTTTTCTACTCATTTTTTCAAATAAACTTATTTTACAATTTTAAAAATCTAAATTTACTATTTTTGGAATCCAATCATCATTAACAACATTCACCCAAAAAAAGTCATCATTAACAACTCTGGAAATTACGTTCTTATTAATGCAACCTAAACACATGCCATACATTCCAGTGAGTAGAAGTAAATGAATTTTCATTTATTTTGTCAAATGCCCCCTCAGGCTTTCCCCATCTATGAATTCCAATTAAAACCTTTTTATCCTTAAAATAAGTTTCATATCTCTTAGCATGAATCCTGTTGACCAAAATCAGGTTCCAACGGATAGAAGAAGCATGAAAAGTAACTCACAGGAGCAAGAAATTTACATTTGAATGACCAATTTATAACTGCCAATACCAATACATTAGACTGGGAATTACTGCCCCACATAGATGACATGCTCTCCAGCTTTAAGCTCCTTAAAATCTACAAAGCTCTCTCTATAAACCTTAAGTATATATGTAGTGGCCCCAGTGTACTACCTATCATCCAAAGATTAATCGGCGGTCATGCAACTAACACAAGTAGTAATTACCATGGTTGAGAGTTATTGGTGCACCTTTCTTTGGGTGTGAAGCGTCCCACCTTCCCACATGTGAAATACACAAGAGTCCACAATGCATGAGTTTGTTATTTTTATTTTCAAGGCTCGGCCTTTTGTTATTGTTCTATGGTTTGTATGGTTTTCTCCAATTAGATTACCATCTATCGTTTGTGTTTCCGAGTTTGGGCAATCAGAAGTATACTAATATTTCTTGAAGATCTACAATCCTTTTTAGACTTCAACTCACCAAGTAGGTTATAAAGTATTAGATCCTTGCAATTTAAACATAGGGCAGTTATAGTAGATTCCCATGAACTAGGCAAACTATTAAGTAATTAATACGGTTGAGAGTTCTTGGTGCACATTTTTTTGGGCATCCCACATGTGAAACACACACTCTTGAGTCCATCGTGCATGATTTTATTTTTTTTCAAGGTTTCGCCTTTCATTATTATTCCATAGTTTGTAAGGTTTTCTCCTATTAGATAAGAGATCCATGGTTAATGGTACTTGCGGACCTCAAGCCCAATTAGCTGAGGACCTTGATTCTTTTACTCAAAAAATCTCGATATTAGAACAAGAGGAACCCTGTTATATGACGCACTTAAACATCGATTCCTTAACTAAGAGAGCTCGTACTAGCTCTACTTACAACCTCATTTTTTTTGTATAGTAAAATTTAGATTCCTACTAGTCAAACCATCAAATCTATTGACATCAGATCTTGCCCCCATAAACCTAAAGATCTTGCTCCTAGTCATGTTTATTGTAAGGACGTCAATCCTAACCCCAAAGAGCTTCCACTATAGGGTGGTTCGGCAAATCCCGAACCGATCCCGTTCCCACCTCTAACAACTATGGTTTGGATATGCCAATCCACCACCCAAAGCAAAAAAAAAAAGAGGAGGGGGGGATTTTAAGCCCTAAAAACAATTCATCTTCTAACACATTGTCTAGACGATCCATTTCCCAGATTTTCAAGTGTTTATACATGTACTTGATCATCACTATTTCGGGAATTTTCAATTTCATAATTAGGAGGTGGCAATAAATTTCACTTTTAGATACCAGAACTGCATCTTTTAACATAGCTATAAAGTGCATCTTACTTCAATTATATAGGGTTTCAATCGTATAGAGTTGACACCGTATACAAACCTCACCCTTTTAAATTTGTGGGAGTAGTTCGTGATTCAAATGGTCATATTGTATTTATTGTATTTATATATACTGAGCCCTTAGGTGATGCAAATGCAAATCATGCTGAAATGTTTGCCATTTTCTATGGTTCGAAGAATTTTTGCAACAAGAATTTGGGCATTCATTGCGTCGTTGAATGGGACTCTTCGAATGTCATTAGATGGTGCAAAAGAGAGTAAAAGGTACCTTAGGAGCTTGAAACATGGTTGCAGATAATCGACTTATGTGCATATCTTTAGGGAAACAAACTCGTTAGCTGATGTGTTAGCCAAGGGGGGAACTTCTTTGCCTTCACTTTCTGTTTATGATGATGTAATCCCGCATAGGTAATTCCCTTTTTATAAAAAATAAAAATAACATTCGTCCAAAAAAAAAAAATTTGTGGTAAAGAAGTTGGCAAAAAACAGAAGTAAGCCCGCTTTATGCAAAAATTACACGTTGATGGTCAGGGTGGCAGAGCACAAATAGGATGTCAGGGTTTCCATTCCTACCCCGCTAGGATGTCAAAAACGTGGGCATAATTTTCATCCATCAAAGCCAACTTGGCATGAGTATCACTATTGATGGAGTATTGGAAATGACAAAAATAATGCACATCTATCCTTAAAAACTGATTTACTTCCTCTACCCACATATAGAGAGAGAGAGAGAGAGAGAGAGAGAGAGAGAGAGTCAAAAGCGGCAATTATACATTGAAAAGGAAAGAAGGGGGGGCGGGCGGAATTATACATCGAAATTCAGCCATGAGCCATGAAGAACCCAACAAAATTACCAATAGTACAAAATCTAAGGAAATTCTGAAGAACTGATGCAAATAAATCTAACCATGACCTTGAGATTGAACATCCAAAAAATGAATCTCAAGGAGTAATTCTATATCTACCTTTTGCCAACCTTCGTGCAATGACCCTCCTTCCACCCTTGGTCTCCTTTCTGCAAATTGCCAAATTCACACAAAGGTTGATTAGGAAAAAGAAGAAAAAGGGAAAGATCTCTAAATATATATCTATCAAAAAAAATAGCACATTGGTCAAGAAGGGGACCCACCGAGCAAAGTAACCATGGGTGCGCTTGCGCTTGATGTTGCTTGGCTGGAAGGTCCGTTTTGGGAGCAATATCATCTCTGTAACTGGGGGACACATGCCCTCAACTGTTAAAAGAAAAGAAAGATAAGCAGAATAGTTCAAGTGTGAAGAAAAAAAGGAAATCAAATGAATAGAAGTAAAAGTAGCACATGATGGGAGAATTGACTTATTACACAAGATTCAAAATGGACCATGGATAAGAAGCTAAGCTCGAAAAGAGAACAAGCTACAAAATCTGAACACAGTGGTGAAAACATGAAGAACCACTCCTAAACCCAGACTAATTGCAACCAATATAATAACTTGCAAATATTTCTAGAAAATCCTACTCTCTATAACTAAGCATATATCCCAAGAGTTATTCTTCAGTAAGATACCTTTCTTGAAACAAATTTTATGATATCTTTACTACATTTTATTATTAAAAATATGATATGCTCTCAAGTCCTATTTTGTGTTATATGTTCATGTTGGTGCCACGTGAAACAACCACATCCACATCCACATCCACATCCACAACATAGAATGTCATACAATATGTTGAATCTAAGAACGAGTGCGCTGGATGCATTTGGGTAATTAGGAGTTCTAGATACGAATGGGTTGAATAGTCTCTTGAGTCTTTACAAGCTCAAACTCCAAGATATAAAATAGGAAAGAAATTAAACATCAGTTGGCATCGTAAAACTACTATCAAGAATTGCTTTCACATCAAAGACGACAAAAAAAATCTAAAAATCTCCAGATTTGTTCATTTGAGAATTAAACTGCTTTGCTGTGATACGTAACCAGTGATCATTCTACAATTTCACCATTAGTTACAAGAAATAGAACATTTTATGTTATGCATGAGAGCGAGATAAAATAAGGGGAAATTTATCAAAAAGTACATAAGAGATTAACTATTTAGAAAACAAATCCATCTCTTTGGATTTAAGTTCATAAAGCACATCAAAGAATATTAATCATGCCCATAAGGAGAAACCAATCATGAGTTACAATACTTCATATTTTGATAATTTTCCGAAAACAAGTGATAGCTTTTTCACTACATATCGCCATGGAAACATTAGTTTCAGAAGTAGGAGCACTACCTGAATACAAGCTTCCTGCAACTGAAGATTTGTCACTCACAATACATCAAATATGTAGAAGCCCATGGTTCTATAGATTTTTATACCAATTTTTCTTTCTCATAGCCGTCTAGTTATTTGCAAGAGTTTCCTTCCTCAGTTAGAACAGTACATAAATAATACAAAGTCTAAGAATATGTAATTAATTTCAAAAAAGATCACTCCCAATCTCCAGGAAATTTATCAGATCATTTCATCAACTTCTAAAATTTCAGAAATTTGTCCTCAATGACACCGAATCCTAAAGACCAATCTGCATACCATAAGTCCTTCCAAAATCTCATTCCCTTTGGATTGAGTAATGCCATACAGCTGCACCATCTAAAACTCGAGGATTGATACTTTCCCACTCCTAATCTCTACATGATGCATAATACAGTTAGCAGCTCCATCAAGTTTTTAACTTTATAACATCCCATGGGGAAGGTTTCCACGGTCCATACTTACGATTGGGATAAGAATATACTAATTTATATAACATTTAATCGGATAAATAAAAATTTAAAATTTTAAAAGTGAAAGTCCAATAGGGATTGCACTGAAAGTAACATTACTACTATGAAACACTAATTATAGTGTGGAGAAAACAAATACTCTAAACACCATGTCTGTGCTGCTACGCCTCGGGTATTCTTGCTGCCAGCTCATCACCACGTCCTTAACATAATAAAAAACATCTATCAAGAATGCCATCCTAAATCATGGGTTTTGGACTTGTTCCGATGACTTGGATCTCGCTTACGGAGAACCAACTTAGACATGTCTTGAGTACATTGACAAAGAAAAAGAAAACAAACAAGACTCAACTGAGTCTCTTAGAAACTTGCATAAGACTAGTGAGTCTCAATCATTACTTGCCAAATCTTGAGAAACTCATGGAGTTGGATAATTTTCTAGCTTTGGACCAGAAACCAAAATGCACTACTTTATTTCTGCCTAGGCCGCCTGGGCGGCCCCCCCAGGGGCCCAGGAAGGCCACCTCAGCCAAGGCAGGGCTGTCAGGCCCCCTAAGCAGGAGGGGTGGCTGCCAAGATGATAGGCAGGCTGTTTTTTGCAACAATGGCTGTGTGTTTGGGCACCTTGGATCTAGGCTTAGATGTGCTCAAAACCTTTTTTTACTCTTGTTCATCCACTGTTTTAGGACTAACCCCAAAATTTGGGGTTTAATAAAAGGGGTGGCATTAAGAGTAGTGAACTTAAGGGGCTGGCTAACCTAAGTATTCCCCTCAAAAAGTATATCTATTTGGTCTATAGGGTGAAAATGTTAAGATCTTCTAATATCGAATTATTCACACCATACCTTTTTCTCTGCCCATCAGTAATACCCTGCTATGGATGTGGATGTGGAGACAGATGAAAGTGGGGATACAACTTTCCCATTTTTAAAAATCCAGGATACTGATATGGATAGGAGTATCCTATTTGACACAATGATAACAATATATTATAGCTTATCAAGGTTTAAAAAAGCGGATTGGTGACCCGGATCGCCCCAAAAACTGTGTTAGATCGGTTTATAGGAGAATTGTCTGAATCGGTAAATTTCATCCCAAATGTTTTCAAAAAATCACTATTAAATCTCTAAAAATAGTGTTCTTTTAGTTTCTAAAAGAAATTAAGAGCGGTACATTATGCACTATCATTACTTTGTAAAAATAGATGAATATTGCGACATTGTTTTTATGTATGGATGTCTATATAATTATTAATAATAAATTGTTTTGGTTCCTTTTTGTAGACTGAAGTCTAGTATAAAGTTTGATTTTGTTTTGTAATTTTGGAATCATTTTAGATATGTTGGATGGATTTATAATTCTATATTTGAATCAAGAGCAATAATCACAAATTTTCCTTTTCTCAGTCGCCAGAAAATCATATTTGGGTCTTCAGTTGTCTTTTAATGGAAAACTTAGTACAAGAGGAAAAAAAGATTTAACTAAGAGAACGTGCACCTTATCCTATCATTGCTATCTTATTTTGTGTTCCTTTAATTAAGGCAATGTTATTCTAAGGTCATGTGGAGCTCTACTATTAATGATTTTTTTTGTTTTTTTGTTCAAAGGGATAAAATTCATTCTTTTTTATTTTTCTTTTTCATTTGTCATTTTATTTGCTCATTTGTAGGGAAAATTAATGGCTTGTAGTTTATTTTGATAGGCAATGATTTGTTGTAGGGCTCCAATGTGCCAACCCTCCGTTTCTCTCTCTTTGTGTGCAATTTTTTAGGGCTCAAAATTTTGATGGGAAATTGCATAAATGCTCTCTCTCTTTGCGCGCATAAAGTAATAAGTGGGAGAATTGTCCCACATCGACCATTTTAATGAGCGTGAAGCTTTATAAAGGGCTTAAGGCCGATGGCTTTTATTGCTCATGCTTGAGCAGGACGCATGCTTAGCGTGAAGTTGGGGTCAATTATTGCTTGTGGGGCCTGTTTATTAAAATATATTTTCGACATCTCAAAATAAAAAAATAAAAAAATAAAAAACGTGTTAAAAAATTAAAAGAAAAATATGACATTTCAAACAAGTTTGATGACATTAGAACTGGTTTCGTGACGTCAAATCCGATCTGTGATGTCATGATACGCGATTCTCTACAAATAGGCAGGTCATCCAGGAAATCTTGTGAAAGCGGTCCAAATGGTCCCCTTAGAACTTCTATAGTTTTGATTTCTCGTAAATCTATAGAGATCTTGAATCTTTGGGGATGGTCAAATCCGGGTCCTTTGCTTCTTTTGTATTGATTGTTTGATTGGCCTTAGAGGATGGTCTAATTGACTCTTCCAGGTTCAACTTCTCATCCCAAATAGGTGGGTTTGCAACAAAGTCGGGTGAAGGTGGCCCAAGTGGGCCTCTTAAGATTTATAGAGGTTCAAGTTCTCTGATAAATATTTGAAGGGAAAAGTTTCTTTTTTAACTTGAATATTTTCCCCTTGATTTTCTTCGATCATCATCTTTTGATTTGCTTCACATGGGACTACTCACTCACTTGTTTCTTCTTGATTTGTAGTCTTGAGTCTAAGGCATTCCCGATTACTACAGTCTTGGGAATTCCCAACCTTGGAATCTTGGTTGAGCTCATAGATGACTAGAGCCTCTTGAGGGTCATCCACTATACGTATTTGAAAGATGGGATTGATTAGGCCCTTTACTTTTGTGGTGGCATGTATCATAGGGACGTCTTGGAATTTTTATGAGCCGGTATCTTCAACCGGAATCGAGATTCTTCGTGAATGTTTCTCCTTTTCTTGAGTTTCAAAACCTAGGCTAAGACTATTCTCATCATTATGAATTCAAGAATCCCTAGCCACAAGGTTTGGAATATATGCCCCTGCCCCACTATCTAGGACAAGGGTGTCTTGAGTCTCCTGCAAGTTAGATTGCAACAACTTGTGGTGTAGTTTTCTCTTCTATTCTCTCTTGGATCATGGACCCTGGGCTAAGGCAATCTTTAACGTCTCGTATTTTAGACTCTCTTGCCATAGGGTTTTGAGTGAGCTCATGCTCATCCAGTACTTTTTCCATGGCGTGGATGATTAGTCTCTTTGTGACTTCATGCTCTCAACTTTTACTAGGACAGCTGGAACGGATTCCTCCCTTTGGGGACCAACACTAATCAGTTTTGATCTTTGGAGGATATCCACACCAGTTTTTATTGTAGAGGCAATATGCTCCTTTGGTGGGTTGGACTTTTCTAATTCTATAGGAGCTCCCCATGGAATGATTTCCTTTTCCTTACGGACTATAGACCCCGAGCTAAAGCAATTCTCATCACTTGGTTTCTGAAATTCCTTAGCAAAATGGGATTGGGGAAACTTATCATTTTGATCTTCATTTTATTAAATTGTCTTGTTGGTTTCTTCCTGTTCCCCAAGACCATATTGGATGATCGTCAGGTTTGGGCAGGGATCA